ACGTAATGTACCGCCAATGCCACCAAAACATGTTCCAAAATATCCCAGCGATAGCGAGAGCGTTGGGTCAGGCATCCTGGTCACAGGCGGGCACAATTATTTGCCGCCTCATCAGGCGCACATGACTACAGTCGGCAATCGGCACACACAACTCTTTCCCAGTTTTCCGCCCAGCAGTCATGGACTCCGTTACATGCGACGTTCCAGTCCTCTGACGTTACCCTCACCGCCACCGCCAAGTATGGCGACAACGCCGCAGGCCTCGCTACCGGCCCATCTAGAAAGTAATAGCAACAGCAGTACCATTGGCATACCATCTGAGCTGGAGTTTGCGCCAGGTCAGCACTCACAGCAGCTTCCACATTCGCATCAGCACATGCAGCACCCGGCATATATCGACTATAGCCAACAACAGACGCAGCACTATCCTTACAGCCTTGCTGGCGTGGCTGGGCCTGGGAATGGCATCATTTATGAAGGCGGCACCTTTCCGCGGAAGAAAGACAACCAACGTCTGCGTATTCCGTCGAATCCCAGCGTGGCCAGCAACAGACAGAATAGCAGCAGCTTGGTCAAGAACAGCTCTGGTTCCATTGACCATCACTATGGTGCAAGCAGCAATTCCGGTCACACCGCTTTGCCGGTCTCGGTGATGAGCTCTGCGCTCCACACAAACTACTCCGCGAATGTAAATAGCATAAATGGCGGCGGCGGCGGAGGAGGCAGCGGAAGAGGCTCGCCCATGCCGCAGGTGCATGTGGAGGTACTTAGTCATGGCGGGCCAAGTGGAAGTGGCAAGCGCAGCGTCAATGTTGCCACGGATTTTCTATGCCCTGGAGACCTTAGAAGAGTCACGATCGATAAGCGCGACAAGTCGCTCGGCATTACAATACAGTGCAACAACAATGGCGGCGGTATTTTTGTGTCCACAGTTGCCGACAAGAGTACCGCAATGCGTGCCGGTCTCCAGGTGGGCGATCAACTCTTGGAAGTCTGCGGCATCAATATGCGTGCAGCTACTAACGAAATAGCGGCAAATGTGCTGCGCCAGTGCGGCGATTCCTTTACAATGCTGGTGCAGTACAATCCAGAGAGTAAGTAGATATACCAATAGTATATGGTACAATGGGGGTTGCGTATAGTCAATTTTGTAGTTGTTTTTTTTTTATGGGGAAATATTGTGGCTTTTAACTTAAAGGAATCTTCTTTTCAACTAACTTTTCTTTCAGAGTTTCACTCAACTGATTACGAGGGCATACACAACCTGGAACCAGAATCTCCCCTTAATCATTCAGGCTCGCCAACCCCCCGAAATTCCCCGCGACCTCCGGCTCGCAGTGTACAAACAACGTTGCCAATGCAGCAGCCGCTGACTTTACTTCCGTCCACGGTATCTGTCACACGTGCGCCACTCTCTCATCAATCGATTAAGGATCAGAGCTTTACAGACAGCTTGGAAAATCAATCGGACATAAGCAGTAGCCAGGATATACCTTCATCGGCGGCCACAACGACCACTACAACCGCGTCGGCTACCTCAACCGTTTACGATGACGACACCAAGCTCACACTGCCCGCAGCTCCGCCATCGCTGGCTGCCGAGGGTAAGTTCCACGAACGGAATGTTAATAAAATTAAGTGGGTTCCACACGGGAAAGACTTAAGCTTACTTTAATCTAAGTCATAGATTTCTTATTGCCGAGGTGTAGTTTTTATAATTAGATATTTTTGAAATCTCTGAATAAGAAATCCGAAAAGGTCAACAGTTATTGAATACAACATGCTGTATATACTGAAACAGTGAACAACACACTAAATAAGTTATTCTTATACCATAAGTTATTTTCAACACATTTTTATTCTCAAATATTTTGCAGCTTTGCGTTTTGTAACTCTTCACATGGATAAGTCAAAGAATCTGGGTATCAAACTGTTTGGAGGTAATAAGGTGGGAATCTATGTGCACGACGTTGCGCCCGGCTCACCATCAGATCACGCTGGCATACGTAAGGGTGACCTCATACTGGAGTACAATGGCGTCGATTTAAGCGGAGTTACCGCCGAACAGGCTGCAAATGAGATCTCCAAGCTGACCGACACTGTAACTATGCTAGTGCAAAACAAATTACAAAGTGAGTGGCATTTATACTGGTAAATTATTTCGATTTTATTTTTGTGATCCTTTTTTTTAAGCTCTTAAGCAAATCAAGGATAAACCGGGTGATTCGTTCTATATACGCGTGGGGTTTGATCGCATTGGGGAATTAAATGAGGAGGACTTGCGTTTCGTCAAAGACGAGGTGCTTTACGTGGATAACACGGTGTTTAATGGCACGTTTGGACTGTGGCGCGCTTGGAAATTAGATGCAATGGGACATCGGAAGGAATGCGGCGTCATTCCAAGTCAAATGAAGTAGGTATTGTATTAGTACAACCTAGTTATAGACCGATGGTTGTCTAGGATGTATGTATTATGTTGTATTTATTTCATTTTCTCAAAAAAAATACTTTCACTCTTGTTTTGCAGGGTGGAAGAGGAGCTGCGTTCGGGCGAGGTAGTGGACTGTGATACAGGCACTGCGCGACGCGGCAGCACTTCAGCCCGCCGTTCATTTTTTCGCCGCAAGAAAAACCAGCGTAGCTCTTCACGCGATTCAACGGAGATAGCAAGTTTTAGCAATACACAGCTTAGTTTCTTTCCCGATTCGGGCATTCTAAACGATGATGGTGGGGTCTTGAGCTATCAGCGGGTGGAGCTTCTGGACTGTGAGTCAATATTGTTCAAATTGTTTGTTTACATAACCAATCGTATTTTTTTCCCCACAGCCCCAATACGTCGACCAGTACTAATCATTGGACCGCTGTCAGAGTGCTTGATAGATCGTTTAAAAATCGATTTTTCCAATTTGTTTAAGTTGTGCGAAGTAACGACCATGGACTGCTCACAGGAAGCCATGGAGGAGGGCCTCAAGGAGAATATATTCGTGGATTATCGTCGGCGTGGAAACAAATTCGAATGTACCACCGTAGAGGCCATTAGCAATGCGTGCAAGATTGTGAGTATCTAGTCAAATAACCATCCTTCAAGTTTTTGACACATTCTAATGTCATGCAGGATCGGCGGCACTGCATCCTAGATGTATCGATCTCAGCCGTGGAGCGTCTGCAGCGTTTGCAAATCTATCCGATTGTACTGTTGCTTCGATTTAAGTCGGCCAAGCAAATTCGCGATATACGCGACTTTGGCACCGACAAAATATCAGCTAAAGCAGCTAAGGAGATGTACGAGCGCGCACTAAAATTGGAGTTCGACTATAAGCAGTACATATCCGGTGAGTAATTGCTCTTGAACTTTGCCCTACTACACTGTGAACTTCTGCAATAACCTGATGTGCGTTTTTGGCTTGCTTTACTACACTCAAATTTATATTACACTTAACTGGGCTTACATATTAATGCCAACGATTTGGATATTGAAAGTTTACTGAAAACCCTTTAGTATCTGCAAGAAATCAAACTCAAGCTCAAAATATGCCAAATGAAGTCGAGGTAAATTCGAATTGCCTTTCAATATCCGTGTGGTAAGAGTGAAAGTGCCAAGATCTGTTTGATCAAACTGCATTTGGTTAGCAGAATTTTGTGAGCACAGTATTGAACACACTAGGTGATTGAAGAAGTTATTTTACTTTCTTTTTAAATATCTATAACTCAATGTTATTAACTTGTTTTGTATTTATATAGCCGTTATTCCTGGAGTCAGCATCAAGCATATGTGCACACAGATCAAGGATGCTGTTGATAAGGAGCAGGACAAACTTCTCTGGGTGCCTGTTACAAATGGCTAGCACAATCAAACTAATAAATGAGATGCGATGTTTTTTTTTAGATTCTATTAGTTTGCAGAAACTTCACAAGTATTTGTGTACAGTTATTATATTCAGTACGCGTAACGTATAGTCGTTATGCTAAACACAATTTGCACTTATTTTGTTTGGATATAGGGCGCAGTATCTAGTATGTTTGTTCCATGTCTGATTTAATTTATATAATATTTTAATACTGTGGGAAAGTAGTTGTTTGTCTGGTCGAGGATTTTCAAAATGTTCAAGTAATATTTCGAGTTTTGTTAAATCAAGCAATTCTGTTTTATTGCTTAAATTCTTAATCTGCATTTTAAATTAAATTTTGTTGCAGTAAAAATTTTGCATTCATATCAATTTGACTATTATAGTTTACTTGATTCAAATAGTTTTGGGGCAATATTTGAGTAATTCTTTAAATTACAAATACATTTAAAAAAGTGCCTTTTATAAAAAGAAAAGCGAAAGTATAAAATTAGTTATGATAATGCAGACTTAAAGTCTTTATTCTATGAACAAAGTGGATAATGACAACATGCTATTACTATTACGGTATTATTAAAAAAGTAAATGTAAAAACTGATACATAAAATGCCTTTAGCAATAAATAAATGCTACAAAATTTAAATAAATCTAACAGAAAGGTAAAATATGAACGTATTAAATACACTATAATCTATTTTATATAAAATATACTTACATACGTAAGAATGTTATTACGCGTATATATTTTTGCAATAAATATTTTTTCAAAATTGTTATTCTGTTTTTGTTTTTGTATTTTATTATTTACAGCTCAAAATATGTTTTTTTAAATAGTATGGCCACACGTCCGTCATGTAAAAATAACAAAAATTATCCAAAGAAGCAATACTATTAAACGCAGTGTCGTGTCACTGTCGTGTTTAGGAATGCTCTGTAAATGTTCGCTAGGAAAGACAATGTGTTGATCTATATGTACAATAACACAATGGCTTGCTTTACTTAATTATAGTTGATAGCCGTCGAATTATGCTAATCAACCGTTAAACTGTTTGAGAATATCAAGATAGAAGAAACTTAAAACGTTAAGTCTTATGGAAAACTTCTATCTTCATATTTTTTGGTTAGATTGGGGGTTTCACACTTAGTTTTCTGTACATTAGAGGGACTAGTCCAAAGCATTCTTCTGATAGGGTTGCAATTTTTCGAGTTTTCATAACTAACCCTCGAAGAAATCAAACTCATCGCGTGGCCGATACCATTGATCGGTAGCATGCTCGTAGATAGCCCGCTGCACCTCCGTCTCGGCCACCTCAATGGCATCTAGATACGACTGAGGCAACGACTGTGGTGCATTAAAGCTGTTCTCGGAGCGCGGACTGCGCGACGTTGCACGAAAGTCCAGTGGTATATTATAGCACTTGCATATACAGCTGGAGGGGAAGCGAAACCAGTCGGAGAAGATGCCGCGGCACTCGTTGTGAGGGTCGTAGGCCAGCAGACGATGGAGCCGGTACTGCTGCTCGCAACGACAGCCGTCGCGGCAGAACATCTGCTTGAACTCGTGTGTGCATTTCTCCCAGTGCACGTACTGCTCAAAGGGGTACAAGTTAAGCAGAGCCAGTACTTCGCCACGCGTGTTATTCGCCCAGAATGGGGCAACCACTTCGTCCTTCACAGGACAAGCATTGCTGCATAAGAGAGAAAGTTAATAAAGAGTGGCACCAGCCGTGTGTCGATGTAATCCTGAGTAACAGGCACTTACACTCCCCGCATATTACTGCTGACCGCCATCGGTTCCTGCTTCATGGCATCCTGGAAAAGCTGTCCTTCCCGCAATAGTCCAGATTTCGTAGAGCTAGTAGGCGCGGCTGTGCTGCTGGCTGTAAGCGGCTTCCGCTGTTTGTCAGAAGTAAACGCCGCGAGTGTAGGCGAGAAGAGCGAGGCAAAGCTGACGGGTGTTGTAGTTCCCAATATCGTCTTGGTCACATTTCTGCGTGGGACCAAGGCGGCCGTCGTGGTGCTGTTGTTGCTGAGCTTTGGTAGAGGTGCTATTGAAGTTGGCGTCGTGTTTGTTTGTGTTGCCTTATCGGATGCTGCTCCTGCAGACATTTTCGACGTGTCACTCTCGTTGGGACTTTGCTTGCGAATGGGTACCGCTGCGCTGAGCTGAGATGCAGCTGTTGTGCTTGTTGCAGGCGTCACCGGAACAGAAGCGATGCTCAGATTGCGTAGGCCCTCGTCTACTTCCTGCACAAGTTCCAGCTGTGGTTTGTCAATGGTATTTATTTTGTCATCTGCGCCGTCTATGGCCGTTCCTTGTGGGCGTTCTGCTGTACCTGTTGCTGCCGTAGTGTTCATCACATCGTAAACGCTGTTCGAGTCTAGACTTGGCTGCTCACCATCCGGATGTACAAATACAACTTCTGTCGGGGCACTCGATGTCTTCGAGTTGGAGGAACTAGGCGTGGGTGCAGTCGATAACGTTGGCGCTGCGGTTGTCGTTGGTGTAGTTGTTGTGCTGGCTGTGGATACTGGTCGAAAATGCGGCTCCATGAGCACGTCGTTGCTCTTGTAGTTGCCAAATTCATCCCGATTGCTCTCCCTGCCATGCAACATATACTTGGCGCCACGAGGCGTCTTGGAATAGCGCTGTGTTGCATCATCCATGCTGTCCATATCGGCCACCTCTTCGTTTTGAATCTCATCGCGTAGGATGGAAATGTGCCGTACGTCTCCATACATGCGCTTCATCAGGCCCTGATTCTCGTGCACAAACCGGCGTACGGCGTGCCAGGGATAAATAGATCCTGGCAGGTGGCAGAAGGGCTGCTTGGCCAGGTCGCATGGTATAGCCGCAAGCATCTGGGCCCGCCCACGCCTAGATATTTTACCGTTCGGGCTGCACGAATTGGCCGAGTCGAACCCGAAGCTGGAGGTACTATCAGACTGGGCGACTGTTGTTACGAGCAGAACCAAAAAAAAAAAATCCCACTACAATTGAAAACGAAGCAAAAACGTGATTAATACTAAAAGCGTGTTTATCGAATAGATAATAATCTATTGATGTCCATAGAAATTGCGAGCTGATCAACAGCAAGGAAAACTCCTATACGAATTTGAACTGAGAGTTATGCTTTCAAAAGTCATTTTGGTATATTGAGAAAACCTTAGTTTTTCAAATATCGTAAGCAATCTCATATAGCTGCAATATGAACAATCGGTATACAACTGATGAACTCTTCAGTCTTGTGTGCACTTAACTGACAAACGCGGCCGGCTCTCACTCGGGTAAACAATACGTTGACGACGTGACGAGGCAAAACCCAAAAGCGGGAAGGCCCAAACGAGCTTCCGCCCCTCTCTCGTATCTTCACGCTATATCTCATCAAATTTTACTTTCACGCAGTGCCAACTGCACAAGTCATATAGTTGATCGATGTGCATTTACATGCGGAGAGCTATAGAGAATGGTCGCAATTACCTTGATTTATAGTGGGACTAGGCTCTCTAGCGCTGAGTGGCTAACGGCGAGCGTTAGAAAAGTGAAGTGGAGAGAGCAATTATAAAAGAGAGAGGTTAGCCGAGTAAAAGTAAATTGCGGCATGGTAAGCCTTTTCGTCAACTGATTGTATGGTCCCTTTCAACTTTCCCTTTCTGTTGCACAATCGACGGAACAGGAGCACATGCTAAACAGCTCAAATCCGAATTTTGTACTGTTGTACTGTTGCGCTTTTCCCGTCTCTTTTAAAACAGGTTTGCTTTTTGGAACTCAAAATCCATATCCATTTAGTTATCACATTAGCTCGCATGAGATTTTCAAAGTTTGAATGAATCACCACTATTGCGTGCTCTCCACAGAATTGAAAAGAAAGTGCTCTGCTCCCACAAATATATATGGCTGTCCGTCCGTCCGTCTGTCCGTCCGTCCAAGAAACTAACTTGCTTTCGGCGGCTGGTTAAGTAATGCTGTGTGTCCCATTGTGGATCTTTGTATGTGAAATTTTGTGACTTCATCGCATATTTAACTTATTGACTTATGCAAGAAATTCGCAAATAATTATATGTAACTCTCTTTAGATAAATATTCGTTCAATTATTAGAAGCATTCAGTGTGATTTGCCAGCTAGTAAAAGTGAATCTCAAATTTGAGGACGAGACCATAAAAATGTCTTGAGAAACAAACCTGCTTTGAAACTAATTTTGTGTACGGAATCGAATTAGGTCAGAGCACACAATCTGAAATGGAAAGCAAAAATGCTTTCGCTGCATTTAAGGCGATTTGTATGAGAACATATTTACCTACGTTCATATATGTATGTGCAGATGATACATTTATCAAGACGATTAAATAGAATATCATGCAACGACAAGCGCGAGTGACGGGAACGAGTCATATTTCTTGGTAGCCTGTTAGGCATAGAAAAAAAAAAAACGCCAAATGAAAATTGGAGCAACAGTCACGCCAGGCGGCTGTCAGCATGCTCCTCTAACAAATCAATATGTCCAATCCGCCAATCCGCCAAACCGACAAACCGACAATCCGCCAATCCGCCACGAGAGCGCTAAACGGGCCATTAAGTCAACTGGCATTGAGGAAGACATTTGTCAGTCCATGTCGCGACGATGCTGTTAGATCGCAGCGCTTTAATGTGTCAGTGCGATTAGGATTGAGACTTTCTAAGAAGACTCCACCAAAAGCAGCCTCTGCCCACCAGCCCACCAGGTGCCCGCTGACCGCCAACAGCCCGGCCAGCTGACAAGAAGTTAGAAGACGATTGCCGTTTATGTCTTCATTTCCTAAATACTCGCACAGTGCAGTCGACAGTTGCCCGCAGACAGATCTGCCCAGGTCCCGCTGCGTATACTGCAGAATGAATTATTTATCAATTCAGAAGCCTACTACAACTACTGACTACTGCAAATGAAGTTGATGTTACATTTAACCAAATTTGGTTTCGGTTATTGCCGTTTCTGTGCCTGCTAATTGCCATTGCCAGAGACCAACGGCTGGCAGCATCAGGCGCTGGTGAAACTTACTCGAAGCTTAGAAAAAGAAAGGCCCAGGCGAAGAACTTCAATGCAGCCTCATGCAAATATGTTAGCCATATTTCATTTGTGTGTGTGATAATAAATATTGTTGCTAATTGTTAATGTGTTTTCACTTATCTAGCTCGCCGGAAAAGAAGCCCAAATCCACACACAGCTGGTATTCTAATTTGGCAACAAAGTATACCACTTTTTTCCGACACATTTAAATTCATACGACGTCCCAAGAGTCAAATGGCGTCAAATTAAGAAATCGCTGCAAGCCAACAACGTTCGAAGAAAGTGAAATTTTATTTTTTTTTGTATTTATATATCTCGCAACCGGTAATACAACAACACCAGCCGCAGAATAGGTTTTCGTCATGCTGGTTCGATACTCCAGTAATGAAGACATAATTCATTAAAATATATATGTATTTGTACATACATATAAAAACACGCTAACTATTTTAGTTGTAGGTGAAATTTGGCTTTGAATGAATTTGCTTCATCCGTCTCTTAAGTTCCAAAATGGAATATATAACGACCTGTAGGAGCTAAACAAACGCTTATCGATAAGAAAAGTCCTGACACATAGGTAAATTCTAAAATATCCGATTCGACTGATATCAATATATATTTTGAACGGACCTAAATCTTAGGTCCGCCCAAGGCCCAACAAATTAACACATATTATGTGAGGCTGGGCCAGTTGACACGCTTGTGGTAATTTACCGTTATTAGTTTTGTTACTTGCAATCCTCTATCCATTTTAGCAAGATCCATTGTTTACTTTCACTTTGTTTGGCACTCGCACACAATCAATGCCAAAAGTGGCTTACATAAATTTCATAAAGGGATTTTGCACTGTTTCACTTGTTTTGTTTTGTTTCGTTTTTTTTTGGGCCGTAGCCTGATGGGTTACCGATTTGGCTCTATCGCCAGCGTGGGTCACAGGTTATTAGCCAGCGTGTTTTGGATATAGGTTTTGTTTTGGCTTGAGATTTGTGTTTACATAACTGCAGCTCGTAATATTCATAATAATTAATAAAGTAATTTTCATTTATGCACACTGTGTATACGCAAATAGAGTTGATTTCTGCAGTTCTGCTCAGCTGTCTGTCTCGGTAGATCAACAGGCGCACATAAACCAGAAGAGCGTTCCCAACGGCGAGGCCCAAAATGAAATCACGTTTACACGCTTCGCACTCACGTTTGCAACTGCGTCGAGCGCTGCGGCGCACAAGAGCCACCGCACGCGGAGTCGGCAAATAGCGACAGCAGCGTCGACAGCGCCGACCCCACTGCGCGCCCGTAAAATCGGAACCCAACTTAAGACAGAGCCAGAAAGACTGCCAAGCCGCGACGCAAGCGAAAACGCTTTCTATACCCTACACGTATTAACAAAACTGGGTATGGGTACAGCCATGTTTGTAATTGATGTAACAAATAACAGCAAAACGATCAAATCGAATTGAGGCGTTATTAAAGGTGTTATTATCAATAGCGTTAACGTGATTAGCGTGTTAGCTAACCAAAACAAATAACGCAAAAGGCACCCAACAAATACATACAGATTTTCTTTGTCAGTTCATATGGTGCCGGGCTAATTTACAGGGTATCGATGAGCAAGCATTGTCGGCTGGAGCAATCTTGTTATTTTTACGGCTCTGCATGGTTTTTTGCGATGGCAGGAAAACTTTTTCTTATTTATTATTCGAAACGTTAGCGTCGGACGGGCGCAGCAAAACACAAACATTGAAAAACAAGCGAGCGCCGCAGCAGCAGCAGCGCCAAAAACACAATAACAACAAACCACAGGCACAAAAAGAGCCACACGCAACGGCAGCGACACGACGAGAGAGCAAAGCGCAAGCCCGAAGATGAAGATGGTACCCGAGACGAACCGAAGGCACGACTTTGCTGCTGCTGCCGCTGCTTTTGCCGTTGTTGTTTTTGATTGTCGGTGCTGCTGGTGGGCAGCGGGAGCTTTGCCGAGCAGCGAAGACGATGACGCTGCTTAGTAGGTCAGTAGTGGCCTTTAACTTTGTTGTTGCTGCTGCTGCTGCTTCTGCTGCTGCTGCTGCTGCTTCTGCTGCTGCTGCTGGCGCTGGCGCTGTTGCTGATGTTTTTGTTGTTATATTTTGTTGCGTTGCATGTTTGTAACTATTCATTTAAACATAAACTGCGAAAACTTGAGTCTGGACGTGTGTAGTTGCCAGACGCAAGTTACGCAGCCTCATGGTTATACAGCTGTTTTTTAAAAACTGCTCCCACTGTACATATCGATAGATGTTAGGAAGTTCTAAAATATATTTATTTGAAATCGCACAGTTGCGAGCATCTCAGCGTTAAAAGCATAATACCATAATGTACTAGTTATTACGGACAAAAACCCTAACAATTGACTCTATGGTCTACAAGATTACAAGCTTCCGGGCGAAATTGTTCAAACCCAGCTTTATCTATCTATCTATCTATATAGCTTTTGCTATATATGTGCATATACATACGGATATAGGCAGCATTTCAGCTTATTTTTATACAGAAGAAAACATACATATGTACAAATAATATAAATGTGCACTTACCCAAATAATTTATTGGTGGGAGACGGGCAGACTTTTATATATTTACACATCCACTAAAAGAACAAAAGATATGGAGATCAGATTAGAGTAAGGCTTTTAGAAAATAAAAGAAACAAAATGACTGAAAGAAAGAGAGAGAGAGAGAGAGAGAGAAAGGGGGAGAGAGGACAAATTGCAAGAGTAATTCAGAGCGAGCGTATGAGCAGAAAAAAAGTTAAGCTTTTTTTTATAACTAAAAATATGTTAATAAGCTCTCTAGTCTTATAAATGTAATGCTACCTTCCAGATATGGTGACTATATCGATCTAATAATACATTAATTACGAGTTCCGAAGCAAAAACTGCATATAAAATCATTTAAATTGTGATAGTAATAGTCTACTGTAATTGTCTACTATTACTAAAGGGTATCTTACTGTAGATATGTTATTGATAATTTCATGTTTGGCCCTTGGCTTCAAGCATTACGTTTTCACATTTACTTCGCGTGCCTTTGGTGTGTTTATGAGAATGTATGTGTGTACCCACACTCTACAGTACTTGCGGTAAAATGAAAGTGCAGTTATAATCTCAATGTATAATAACGAAAATGAAAAGAAGAGTTTCTATGTTTGATATTTCTGCAAGCAACGGTCCCTTGCCAACTAATATTATAAAAATAAATCAAGAGTTACACATGCAGTTGTAAAATATACAATTTCTCATTCACAACAACTGAACAGATGGTTATAATTTACAATTACAATTCTCTATGGACGCCGACGACGCCAATATGTCTGAGCCAAGCAGATTCTGGTTCTGGGCGAGATGAAAGTTTGCGACTGGCTGGTTTGCTCTCATGCAACTGCAACTCAGTTCATTAGCATCATCTTTACGAATACTGTGAAGCAAGTAGTGCGTACGCGTACTTACGAGTAGTTGTGTAGACTGACTAACATAGAGATTATATGTTTTAAATTTTAACAAATAGACAAATAAATGTTCTACTTTCACCAGATAGTGAAGCGATCGGAGCAGACGCACGAAGAACCACAAAGAGAAATTTGTGAAGCACAGATGCAAGACGAATTGTCAATGCAGATGGAAGCTTACAGCTGATACAATACCTGATAATTTTTTTTTTAAAGAATAAGTATGTTGATAAATTAGCTTCTATTTGTTGCCAGTTTTTTATCTTGAAATCATTGTTATGACTTCAAATTGTTGTTATATTATAGCAGAAAACATTTGTGAGGCTGAAGCAAACCGAAGTTATATATCTGTCAGCTTTTGTTGCGTGATGGGAGTTTGTATCGATAGTTTGCATTTACTCTTGTTTAGCTTGCAATTGCAATATATCGAAATATCGATATTATATTGTACATTAGTAAAAAATTAAGGAAATCAAAACAATTTAAGTTGCAATGGAATTTGCCGAAAACATGGATTTAGAAAATGACCGAGTGCTGAAATTGATATTTCCTAATGGTGTTCCAGGTTATTATAATCACCGTAAAGTACATTACCCCAGGGTACTACTTCATTATTGTTTTTTAACTCTAGAAAATCTGCGTGGCAATCCAGAGCTAGATAATTATTTGGTCAAATTGGGTACTTGCAAAGTGGAGCAACTGAAGAAAGAGCAAACAAGGCTAGCTGATGAGACGAAGCGTATATTGGAGCAAACACAAGAACTAGCCATAACCAATTACAAAACCTTTATCACGACGGCGGAGAACTCCCGTTCGATATTTCACGAATTTCAGAAGGCCGAGGAGCAGGTGGACACACTTATAGACAAACTGCCCACGTTCAGTGCTAAGTGTCAGGAGTTTCTCAAAAAATCGGAGGAACTCACCGAGCAGCGTCGTCTGAATAGTACAACCCTTCACAAGAATGCTCAGCTGCTGGAGATACTCGAGCTGCCGCAGCTGATGGAGCGCTGCATACGCGAAGGACGCTACGAGGAAGCGCTTGAGCTGGCCAGCTACGTGCAGCGGCTGGGCCAGCACCAAGGACAAACAATACCCGTGGTGAATGTATGTGACATTTTCCACTCTCTCTTATCTGCCTCATGCAATAACATTTTTAATGCAGAGTATTGTGCGTTCCGTGGAGGCCTTATGGCATACCATGCTCGTGCAGCTGGTGGCACAGATGCGCATGGATCTGCAGCTACCCAAGTGCTTGCAAATCGTCGGTTATTTGCGGCGCATGCAGGCCTTTGGCGACAACGAGTTAAAATTGAAGTTTTTACAAGCGCGTGACGCTTGGTTGACATCGTGCCTGGACGCCATCCCAAAAACAGACGGTACTCTAACTGGGCTGTTGAAAACATATTCAAAAATGATTACCTTATAGCTCAGCAGCATCTAACGAAGACTATAGAAATAACGCGTATCAATCTGTTCAATATAATTACACAATACCGCGCTATCTTTCCGGAGGGAGAACAGGCAAGCAAGTCGGCCGGATTGAAGCAGCTACAAGGTGTCAGCTGCAACGGACTTCGCCTTTTTGAAGCCTGGCTGCATAATAAGGTAAGATGCTCAAATGCTTAAAGCTTAGCTCATTTAACTTTTATGTGTTCGCAGATTGACGCCTTTCTGCTGACACTCGAGGAAGACTTGCAACGCGGCATTTATTCAATTGAAACTGTGCTCGGTCAGTGTATGTATTTTGGACTATCCTTCAGTCGCATCGGTGCCGACTTTCGCGCATTGATTGCGCCCATTTTTGTACGCGTTGTGCGCAAGAAGTTCGAGTCCAGCATTATTAAAGTTAATGAAAACTTTGATCGGGAGTTGGAAAAGTTTACGCTTATTAACAAGGTGAGCCTGCACACACGCAAGCAGCTTGACACAACAGCTCTTTCCGGGAGTGAGCCGGACATGGAGTCGTATGCACCGCCAGAGACGTTGCTTGACTTTTATCCACTTGCCGTGCTCTGCAATGGTTATTTGAACGCGCTGAATGAGCTGCGCCTCTGTGCGCCCTTTGCTGTGGCTACAGATGTAACCAGTTGCTTGCAAAGGTCACTAGAGCTGGTAGCAAAACAAGTGCTCGCCTTCTATCGCCAAGAACAGCAAGCGTTTACCCGCAATGAACGCGAAACATTCGTTAAACTGTGCTCCTGTTTTGCCTACGACCTGGTGCCCTATGTGCAGCGCTGTATTCACGGCGTGTTCCCGCCTCAGTCCATAACCGTGCACCTCGGTATAAGCCTGCTTCAGCTGGAGCAACACCAAATAACCTTCTTGATGCAGGCTCAGATACTGGAACCGTTAAAGCATCTGCTGCCTACAAAAGTGCTAATCCATTCATCGCCCCAGTCAACAGCGGAGCTTAGTAATGTGTCTATTGCAACTGAGGGTTAAACATTTCCAATCCCAATCAATATCATTAAATTTAATATAATGAATACCTTTTGTGTTAGATCAAAAAACCAAACAATTAGGAAGTTGAATTAGGACTGGTTACATTAGCTATGTATCTTATGCCCTTTTTCTAATAAATAATGTTTGGTTTTAACTTGGCTATCGCACAATTAGGTCAACGCCTAATTTATAGTATGATTAACAAGAGTAATATTTTGGTACTCTGAAAGTGGCTTTCTGGTGCCGATCATCCTATAACATTTAATGATAATATAAAAAAGCCTGCATATTATATTAAAATTTAAAAAAATGCAAGGGAAATTTCAAAAGTTTTTGCAATAAACATCTGTATGAAAATATAAGTTTACAAGCGACTAAACTCGCAATTGGGCACAAACACATCGTGTGAGCTGGAACGGGATGCAGTCTTTGTTCGAACATGTAGAGCCCACGAGAGTGCAATAATATTTTTACGCCACTGCGCGAACAATCAAAAAGCGACCCTCTACCAATTGTGCAGCCAAAGCCAAAATGGGGTGTGCGTAGGTGGTGCGCGAAGCCTAGCAGCTAAAGCGCCGACATGGCAGGTCAGATTGAGTGCGGTTAGAGTGAGAGTGGGCGATGGTCGGCCGGTAACGTTTATAAGCAATTTCGCATACAATGACTAAATTTGGAGAAAGCCGTGCGCGTATTTTTCTTTGTTGCTGCTCTCGGCCGAATTCGAATGCACTGTGCTGAAAATTGGAAAACATGGCAACTGAATACAAGGACACGGACACGGACGCGGATGTGGATGTGGACATGAGCGCGACTGCGGCTTATCGTTCGTTGAACGTCAGAGGCCGGACGCTTTGACGACCACGGCCTTTGTGGGTGCGGACGTTTCTGTATTTTTAAGTCCACCACTAAATACAAACGAAAGCACTCAAGCACAAGTTGGTCACGATTTGGAGCTAACCGCTACCCTGGCAACGGTTAACAGACAACAGTGCCACCTTTTGGTGGAAAAACAAAAGCGGCCTACTACCGAATGGAAGTTGGGATTTTGATTGCGAATCGAAATAGATTTTGTGGTATTTGCAAAGCAGTGCGGAGCTGGCAGCGAAGTCTGTGTCTGTCTGTGTACGTGTCGGTGTGTGCTCATTTGTTACTTTGCCGCACCATGGACAACATTGCGTATACGCGTTTCGTTCGTTTATTGATTGATTGAATTGGAGGCAGGGTGGGGCCTTTTACACGCTTTTTGGCTTCGTTTTAAAAACTGTTCGTTTATTTTGCAATTTGTATTGCCGCATCTCGTAGTTGTCTCCTATACAGACTTGTTTTATCCTATTCAACGGCAAATAGTTTATTTCTGGCCAAAAAACGGCAGCTAAAAGTTGTACTTTTTGTGCTTCATACGAAGTAGATATGATGTAGAATATTGTATGCATTGCAGGAAATATTGAATTCATATGCCTATCCATGATTTACTAATTTACCCTTTTTATACCCTTGCAGAGGGTATTATAATTTTGTCGTTAAATGTGTAACGCGTAGAAAGAGACATCTACGACCCCATAAAGTATATATATTCTTGATCAGCACCAATTACAGAGTCGATCTAGCCATGTCCGTCTATCTGTCTGTCCGTCTGTCAGTCCGTCCGTCCGTATGTATGAACGCAAGGATCTCAGAACCTATAAGAGCTAGAGACTTGAAATTTTAGATGTAGGTACTCCTAGTTCCCGCGCAGATCGAGTTTGTTTCCGATAATCAATAACTTCCTCCGTTTCCAAGCAATCGATAAAAATCAATATTGATATCCTTTTTTTTGGGCAATTTTGGTAAATAATAAGAACTAGAGTCACCAAACTTGACATATAGCTTCTAAAATAGAATATATATATGCATTTGATGTTGGAAGAAGACGGTTCAGGGTATCCCCTAGTCGGGAGCTCCCGACTAGAAGCTCTTACTTGTTTTAATTTAACCCAGACCCAGATGTGCGCCTGCATAGAGAAAAATGTAACATGCTGTAAATTAAATTATTTACTGAAGATCTCATAATGCATCCATTTTGATCAGAGGTTGGGAAACTGAGCCAAAATGGTGTCTCAAAAATAAATTCAATTTACTGCTAAGCGACCACGAGTGCGCAGAAAGCCACTTCTGGGCTTTGCAAGGTGTTTTCATTTTAAGCCGATTGATTCATTTCAAAGCTGCGAAGATTCAATTTGGCTACATTTACTTATTCAGTATGCAAAATTATTACCGCAACACATTGAATCCAGCCAGCAATGACGACTTTTGGAGCTGCTCAACGAGTTGGAAAACACCCAGGGAGTTCTATTTGAATAGGTGTGGGTCGAGTTGGTTTGGGCCACGCTGCGTATGTAAATTCGCATACAAATCACTTGCGTGCTCGCCAAACGCCCTTGGGGGAATGCTTTAGTTATCCTTTAGCGATTTTTCAAATAAACACGAAACACACTTTTCTTTACATTGCCAGCGGCAAAAAAAGTTGACGCGCGCGTCTTGTCAAGTGAGCCCAAGTATCTGATTTCGTCAAACTCGTTCGGTTTTCCCAAGCTGTCTAGGGAGATTGAAAAAATTCAGTTTTTTCTTGTGTCTAACTGATTTCGGTTCATTGTCAATGTCATTTTGTGCTGAAGACATTACGACAATGCCGCTGCGCGCCTTTAGGACAGTCAGGCTAACATATGAGAGCCACTTTTTGTTATGGCCCGGCTAATGTGCTGTAGTCCTCATGCTGCGGGCTAATTGTACATGAATTCGCAAGATTTGGCCAAACAATTTTGCAAGATTTTGCCTGATTAGCTTCGAAAAAGCGTTTTCCACACATCTGCACTCTGCGGCCCATCGTGACTTAATTAGCGACTTTTGTGTCAGGTGTGCGCTTCATCTTTTAACAAGAATGAGCACATCAAAGGAGCCGCAATCAATATTCAAGTGAAACGCTCGGGAAAGCATGTCATTTTAATAATGCTAGCCTGCACCCTGCTCTCTCATCTGGTGCAATTGCTTTCCTCATCCCGTTGTCACCGCCAAATGGGGCGAGGCAAAAATGTCACGTTGCAACAAAGTTGAGAAAAAATTTATTCGCCATCATATTCCCCGCACCCGATTGATCCCCTTTTATTCCATGAAAGCAGCACAATTTTTTGCACGTTCATTTGACAGCAGCTTTTTCCATTTTTCTGCATACCCTGCATACATTCAAATTGTCTAAAGGATATGGTAAAGCTCTGCAACGGTGACAATTAAATGGAGACATGTGCCATAAAGTGTTATATATATCAACAGGCGATTCGATCTCATTAGACAACTCCGGATATCGCATGATCACGGACTTTTTTTTTTTGGATATGTTAAAGTTGCTTAGATATCTTGGTACTGGGTATATTCCAATCAAACACTTGACTAAAGCATTCTTACATTTTTTCTTCCCTTTTTTCCCCTGTGATATTTTTATATTCTCAATTTTTATGTTCTACATAAGTGTGTGGCAATGTGTGTGTATGTATGTATGTATGTATATTATATTATATTATTGCGACGCGAACCAATAACCATCGACCGGGCAGCGTGAACTCAGCTTGCCATTGGCTTGTCCTCATCCTCATTCAGTGGCATGGGCTTAAGCCCAGACTCTAAGCTCCATCTCCGTCTCAGCCTTTTCATCCAGCTTCTCGGTGCGCGTGTGTGTGAGTGTATATAGATGTGAGTTAGTGTAGGGTAGGGAGTGTGAATGTGTGTGGTAGTAAGTACAATAACTGACCGTTTGCTGCTGCCTCCGTCGCTGACCCGATTCACCTGTCCGCCGTGTTATGCTACGAATTTTGCCCGGTTATTTCTCCTTCGCCGCTGCCATCTCCTTTGTCTCGTTTGTATTGTTGTCATGATAGTAAAGGTGCCAGCAAGTCGAGCAACAACTTAGATAAAACCTAACCCCGAATACTCCCGCACTGCCCTGTTGAGGTCATCCCGAGCGTAGCCATTTTTTTACGATTCGCTTGGGTTTCGTTCAGGCCAAGCAATATAATTTATTGAAGTTCTAGCATTTTTCAAAATGAAATTTTTTGTAACGATGATTGAACAACGTATGTACGTGGGTTTCCTGTCCAGCTGCGGCTGTATCTGTATCTGTAGCTGTACATGTATCTCAAACTACGGTTTTAGTTGTATCTGAGAGCGTCGTGGCCATTGTTACGAGTACGGGTTGCGCACGTTTGGCCTGTCCATTGAACGCCATATTATTGGTCGATTGAAAAGTAAAACATTTTTTATTATCCGCACGTGTCCAGCATCTCCGTAGCCCAGAACCCAGTCGCATACTTGCACAATGCGCCGTTATATGACTACAAAAAGACTATATTCATTGTAAGATACATAGGAGTGGGTGGATTGGGTGGCTCGGTCGGTGGGTTGGGTGGGTTAGTTGGGTCGCTTGACCACCTACCTGTCATTGCCATAAAAGTTGGGACTTAACTACCCTTAGGTGTGGTCTGCTCCAGCCTTATGCAAGGTGAGCTCATGGCTTTTATGAAGCCCACAACGAGGCGGCGACTCACTTTGTGTGCTCCTTCATATTTGATAAGCAGGGTTTCCTTCTTCCTTCGTCTGTTTTTTTTCCATTTCCTTTTACTGCTGCACGCCATCAATATCTTTCTGCCTCTCTTTATCTTTTTTGCTCTCTGTCTTTCTCTTCCTTTCTTTTGGTTATAAAAATATTTCATTCAATTTTTTATTCGTGCCGACGTTCGGTGGCTCTCGCTCTGTTCCACGTAAATCTTTCGGTTCGGGGGCTATCTTCCCTTTTTGCTGATTTTCTGTTTCGCTTACGCTCGGTTTGTATGTCCAGCGATTTATTTGCCCAGCCAGCGGACCACATGGTTTCTCATTTTTTTTTCTTGATTTTTATACATATTTTTTTTTATTTCAGCGGCCACAGGTCGGCGACGCCATTGCCATCACCGTCGTCATCGTTTTCTTCGTATTCTTCGTTTTCGTCCGTTGCCGTGCTCGTCGGCTTTGGCTTCATAATTTCCCGCCGTGTTTGCTGTTGCCTTCTCGCTCGGCGAGACTGACTCGTGGATTGGGAACTGCTGGATAGCACACTTATTGTGCGGCATCTGATGCTCCGTCTCAAGTCCTAGTGCCAACCCATAGTTGGGCATGGGTCAAGTCAAACCGAAGTTAATTTCGTTTCTCTTTGCTCCCCACCTGCTGGTTATGTGTTTGTTTGCACTTTTATAACAATGTTAGCGGATTGGGTGGTGTCACCGCCGAGCCAGCGACCAAATGGATTTCAGATACTATTTCGGATGGGGCGTTGAGTCTGCGGTTGCTTCTTAAATATGATGTCATACTCTATACAGTTTGTTGCTATGACTATGCATTAAATATTTGCAGCATATATTCTTTTCTTACATATTCAAGTGCTGCCTAGCTAGAAAGTTAGATACATGCGTATGCCAAACCTCCACTTCGTAATTTAAAAACAAGTAAGAGGTTCTAGTCGGGAGCTCCCGACTAGGGGATACCCTGAACCCTCTTCTTCCAACATATATATATATATATATATATATATATATATATTCTATTTTAGAAGCTATATGTCAAGTTTGGTGACTAGTTTTTATTATTTACCAAAATTGCCCAAAAAACAGGATATCGATATCGATTGCTTGGAAACTGAGTAATTTCAAGTCTCTAGCTCTTATAGGTTCTGAGATCCTTGCGTTCATACATACGGACGGACGGACGGACGGACGTACGGACGGACGGACGGACAGACGGACATGGCAAGATCGACTCAGCTATTTATGCGGATCAAGAATATATATAAGCCAAATTTCGTGAAAATCGGATGAGATTTGGCCGAGATATGGGGGTGGTAAATTTTGACCCATGTCTATATACGAATCTTGGGGTAAGATTTGGACATGAATTTCGACCAAAAAATCGGTGTCGAGATTTGAATGCCAGATTCATCTAGAGGAAAACCATGAAGAAAAATCCAAACTTCGTGAAAATCGGATGAGATTTGGCCGAGATATGAGGGTGGTAATTTTTGACCCATGTCTATATACGAATCTTGGGGTAAGATTTGGACATGAATTTCGACCAAAAAATCGGTGTCGAGATTTGAATGCCAGATTCATCTAGAGAGAAAACCTTGAAGAAAAATCCAAACTTCGTGAAAATCGGATGATATTTGGCCGAGATATGGGGGTGGTAAATTTTGACCCATGTCTATATACGAATCTTGGGGTAAGATTTGGACATGAATTTCGACCAAAAAATCGGGGTTCAGATTTGAATGCCAGATTCATCTAGAGGGAAAACCATGAAGAAAAATCCAAACTTCGTGAAAATCGGATGAGATTTGGCCGAGATATGAGGGTGGTAATTTTTGACCCATGTCTATATACGAATCTTGGGGTAAGATTTGGACATGAATTTCGACCAAAAAATCGGTGTTCAGATATGAATGCCAGATTCATCTAGAGGGCAAACCATGAAGAAAAATCCAAACTTCGTGAAAATCGGATGAGATTTGGCTGAGATATGGGGGTGGTAAATTTTGACCCATGTCTATATATGAATCTTGGGGTAAGATTTGGACATGAATTTCGACCAAAAAATCGGTGTCGAGATTTGAATGCCAGATTCATCTAGAGGGAAAACCATGAAGAAAAATCCAAACTTCGTGAAAATCGGATGAGATTTGGCCGAGATATGAGGGTGGTAATTTTTGACCCATGTCTATATACGAATCTTGGGGTAAGATTTGGACATGAATTTCGACCAAAAAATCGGTGTCGAGATTTGAATGCCAGATTCATCTAGAGGGCAAACCATGAAGAAAAATCCAAACTTCGTGAAAATCGGATGAGATTTGGCCGAGATATGGGGGTGGTAAATTTTGACCCATGTCTATATACGAATCTTGGGGTAAGATTTGGACATGAATTTCGACCAAAAAATCGGTGTCGAGATTTGAATGCCACATTAATCTAGAGGGAAAACTATGAAGAAAAAGGCAAACTTCGTGAAAATCGGATGAGATTTGGCCGAGATATGGGGGTGGTAATTTTTGACCCATGTCTATATACGAATCTTGGGGTAAGATTTGCACATGAATTTCGACTAAAAAATCGGTGTTCAGATATGAATGCCAGATTCATCTAGAGGGCAAACCATGAAGAAAAATCCAAACTTCGTGAAAATCGGATGATATTTGGCCGAGATATGGGGGTGGTAAATTTTGACCCATGTCTATATACGAATCTTGGGGTAAGATTTGGACATGAATTTCGACCAAAAAATCGGTGTCGAGATTTGAATGCCAGATTCATCTAGAGGGAAAACCATGAAGAAAAATCCAAACTTCGTGAAAATCGGATGAGATTTGGCCGAGATATGAGGGTGGTAATTTTTGACCCATGTCTATATACGAATCTTGGGGTAAGATTTGGACATGAATTTCGACCAAAAAATCGGTGTCGAGATTTGAATGCCAGATTCATCTAGAGAGAAAACCATGAAGAAAAATCCAAACTTCGTGAAAATCGGATGATATTTGGCCGAGATATGGGGGTGGTAATTTTTGACCCATGTCTATATACGAATCTTGGGGTAAGATTTGGACATGAATTTCGACTAAAAAATCGGTGTTCAGATATGAAAGCCAGATTCATCTAGAGGGCAAACCATGAAGAAAAATCCAAACTTCGTGAAAATCGGATGAGATTTGGCCGAGATATGGGGGTGGTAAATTTTGACCCATGTCTATATATGAATCTTGGGGTAAGATTTGGACATGAATTTCGACCAAAAAATCGGTGTCGAGATTTGAATGCCAGATTCATCTAGAGGGAAAACCATGAAGAAAAATCCAAACTTCGTGAAAATCGGATGAGATTTGGCCGAGATATGAGGGTGGTAATTTTTGACCCATGTCTATATACGAATCTTGGGGTAAGATTTGGACATGAATTTCGACCAAAAAATCGGTGTCGAGATTTGAATGCCAGATTCATCTAGAGAGAAAACCATGAAGAAAAATCCAAACTTCGTGAAAATCGGATGATATTTGGCCGAGATATGGGGGTGGTAATTTTTGACCCATGTCTATATACGAATCTTGGGGTAAGATTTGGACATGAATTTCGACTAAAAAATCGGTGTTCAGATATGAAAGCCAGATTCATCTAGAGGGCAAACCATGAAGAAAAATCCAAACTTCGTGAAAATCGGATGAGATTTGGCCGAGATATGGGGGTGGTAAATTTTGACCCATGTCTATATACGAATCTTGGGGTAAGATTTGGACATGAATTTCGACTAAAAAATCGGTGTTCAGATTTGAATGCCAGATTAGTCTAGAGCGAAACCCATGAAGAAAACGCCAAACTTCGTGAAAATCGGATGAGATTTGACCGAGTTATGGGGGTGGTAAATTTTGACCCATGTCTATATACGAATCTTGGGGTAAGATTTGGACATGAATTTCGACCAAAAAATCGGTGTCGAGATTTGAATGCCACATTAATCTAGAGGGAAATCCATGAAGAAAAAGCCAAACTTCGTGAAAATCGGATGAGATTTGGCCGAGATATGGGGGTGGTAATTTTTGACCCATGTCTATATACGAATCTTGTGGTAAGATTTGGACATGAATTTCGACTAAAAAATCGGGGTTCAGATTTGAATGCCAGATTCATCTAGAGCGAAAACCATGAAGAAAAATCCAAACTTCGTGAATATCGGATGAGATTTGGCCGACTTATGGGGGTGGTAATTTTTGACCCATGTCTATATACGAATCTTGGGGTAAGATTTGGACATGAATTTCGACCAAAAAATCGGTGTCGAGATTTGAATGCCACATTAATCTAGAGGGAAATCCATGAAGAAAAAGCCAAACTTCGTGAAAATCGGATGAGATTTGGCCGACTTATGGGGGTGGTAATTTTTGACCCATGTCTATATACGAATCTTGGGGTAAGATTTGGACATGAATTTCGACCAAAAAATCGGTGTCGAGATTTGAATGCCACATTAATCTAGAGGGAAA